TTCATCTTTATAACTCCTACCAGTAGAACGATTCCCAGACTTTGGTTTCGACTCCATCATACTCAAAAGTCTATCCCATTGTTCCTTTTTCAATCATGTGACGGCATGTGTAACATTCATGTGTGACACAACATGTGTGTGTGCCACATCAATATTCTTTCTCATAGGGACGTTTTTCGCATCTCCACTCTTTCCGATTTCAAGAGCGCCTTTCGCGTCTCCATTTTTCTCAATAACCATCTTTTCCAAAAGAACTCTTTCTGCGATTCCATCTTTTACAACTTCAAGAGCGCCTTCCGCGGCTCCAAATCTCTCAAAAATCATAACTCTAATCCGAAAACAACAACGTTGGAGATGATTTCTTTTCACGGATCAAANACTCTCTCAAGAGAACCTGTCTCTGATACCATATAAGATCTGAAAAATAATTCTTATTATCTCTCTTAAGGAGGCATAAACTTCTACTTANAATTATATATACTAAACCCTAAAGTAAAACTTAANCCCAATTAAACTATACATAAGTCCAATATAATATATCTCTTAATAAAAACTATAATGTGGCTTGTCAAAAAAGATGACATGGTTTGTAAAAAAATATGACATGGCTTAACTTTGAACTAACTAATTAAAATAATAAAATGTATTAATTATGACTTGTCGAAACAATGTTTTTGTTAAACTAACTAAATAGAAAATTTTGTTAATTAAATTATCATTATTGTTTGAAAATATTAAAGTGTCCAAATAATAATAAGGTTTGTTATAACTTTTTCTTTTAAAAAGNTTTGTTATTTGTTGAAATCTGTTGAGAACAAACNAACATNCTAAAATATTTGCTGNGCCAACNANTTTTTGAAACAATGCTTGGAGAATATATATATAAGTCAAATGTAAATAGCAAGAAGATTTTTTTATTTGTTCCATATGTTGAGAACAAACGAATATTGACTTATGCCAAGATTATGGTAACAAATTGAAACTTATTTGTTCCTTCTTTTTTTTTTACCAATTAAAAAATCAGAATATGGTAAAACTAAAAGTTTTAATAAATTTTGATTGGATTTTCTTGTTTGAAATGCTTATTGTCCAAGCTATGAAATCTTATCATTAACTCCGTAGATCACATTATTTAGGTATTCCTAACTACTCTAATCTCTATATATAAGTAGTGTTAATTCATTATTCTCTAGGCATCAATTGTCATTTACCAATTTTTATTTTTCATTGAATCAATTCTAGAGTCGAAGTTTCTTTCCTTAAATATTTTTATTATTTGTATCTTTGTTCTATACATTACGTTTCATATATTCTTTCCCTTTTCTGTTTGTGAGTAACACATTTCAGAATTTTGATAAATATATTGACAAATGTTGTTGTATAGAAAACAAAATCCATGACTATATTGTCGCCGGAAGAAGACACCGGGTTTAAGTCCTACATCGAAAAATATGACACCAACAACAATTGGATTCCCTCTCTCGCAGAATTGGTATATATCTATAA